ATTTTAATGTCTTTTTTTGTGTGTGTTGTTGACAGTTTCTTTCTTCCACTTAATATTCTGTGCTGAGTCATTTTTCTTTATGTATTTTCTTTTCATCTTTTTCATTGCTGTTGATTTTGTATTTGCTGAGTCTTTATTTTTTTTTGTTTTTGTTTTTGTTTTTTTTTTTTTTGATATGTAGGATTGTTAGTTTCCTTTGTGGTTACCTTAATATTTACTACTATTATTTTAAAGTTTAAACCAGTCTTTTATTTCTTTATATTGCCTTGACTTCCTCTCCATATGAAAGATCTATGACTATATATTTTTAGTCCCTCTTTTTTGTTTTAATGTTGTCATCTTTTACATATTGAAGTCTCTGTTTCTCTATTTTCAGCATTGTAGCTCTGGTTTATTTTTGTGACTTCCCTATTTGGGTTTATATTTGGTTACTCTGTTCTGTGTTCTGGTCTTGGGTTGTTATCTGATGTTATTGATTTTCTAACTAGAGGACTCCCTTTAGTATTTCTTGTAATTTTGGGTTTTTTTTTTGAAAATTCCCTAAATCTTCTGTTTATCTGGAAATGCCCTAATTTCGCCATCATATTTGAGAGACAGTTTTGCTGGATATATAATTCTTGGCAGGAAATTTTTTTCCTTCAAGCCTTCATATATGTCATTCTATTGTCTTGTTGCCTGCATGGTTCCTGCTGAGTAGTCCAAGCTTAGTCTTATTGACTCTCCTTTGTAGATGACTTTCTGTTTATCCCTAGCTGTCTTAAAATTCTGTCTTCATATTTGATTTTGGCAAATTTGATTATAATATGTCTTGGTGACTTTCTTTTGGGATCTACCTTGTGTGGGGTTCAATAAGCATCTTGGATAGATATCTTCTCATCTTTCATGATATCAGGGAAGTTTTCTGCCAATAAATCTTCAACAATTCTCTCTGTATTTTCTGTTATCCCCTCTATTCTGGTACTCCAATCACTGGTAGTTTATTTCTCTTGATAGAGTCTCACATAGTTCTTAGAGTTTCTTCATTTTTAAAAATTTTTCCTCAAATAAGTTTGTGTCAAGTGTTTTAGCATCAATCCCACTAATTTTGATGTTGATTGCCTCCATTCTGCTCCTATGACTTTCTATTGAGTTTTCTAATTTTAAAAATTTTATTGTTAATCTTCAAGATTTCTGTTTGCTGGCTCTGTATGGATTCTTGCAGCTTGTTAAATTTGTCATTATGCTCTTCTCTAATCTTCTTAAGTTCCTCTATTGCTTTGTCTATATGTTCCTTGGTTTGTTCTGCATTTGGAATAATCTAATTCTTGATCTCTTAAAGAGATCTGTATATTAATCTTTCTTTTAAATTTTTTTTTATTGTACTTAAATGAAGGTTTACAGAACAAATAGTTTCTCATTAAACAGTCAGTATACATATCATTTTATAACATTGGTTAACAACCCCATGACCTGTCATCACTCACCCTTCTCGACCTTGGAGGACCTTTTTTTGTTCAAAATATACATAGCCAAAGTTATACAATTTCGAAAGTTTCTACGTGTACAACTCAGTGACATCGATTACATTCTTCCAGTTGTGCTGTTATTCTCACTATCCTTTTCCAAATTATTCCATCGCCATTTTCTTTAACTCACTGCTCCCTAGGCTTCCCATCAAACTGTTTAAGTTGTTGTTGTCAATTTGATCTCACAGAGATAATTTTTTTTTTTGTACCTTAAATGAAGGTTTGCAGAACAAATAGTTTCTCATTAAACAGTTACTACACATATTGCCCTATGACAATGGGTAACAACTCCATGACATGTCAATACTTTCCCTTCTCAACTTTGGGTTCCCTATCACCAGATTTCCTGTTCCCTCCTGCCTTCTAGTCCTTGTCCCTGGACTGCTATGACTCATTAGTCCCTTTTTGTTTTATGAGGCTGTCAAATCCCCGGCTGAAAGGTGAACCTCAGGAGTGATTTCACCTCTGAGATAAAAGGGTGTCCAGGGGCCATACTCTCAGGGTTTCTCCAGTTTGTCAGGCCAGTTAAATCTGGTCTTTTTCTGTGAGTTAGAATTTTGTTCTACATCCATTTTCAGCTCTATCCAGGACCCTCTGTTGTGATCCTCGTCAGAGCAGTTAGTGGTGTTAGCCAGGCACCATCTAGCTGTACTGGACTCAGTCTGGTAGAGGCCTTGGTAGCTGTGGTCCCTTAGTCCTTTAGACTAATCTTTTCCTCGTATCTTGTTCTCTTCATTCTCCCTTGCTCCTGAAGGGGTGAGACCAGTGGAGTATCTTAGATGGCTTCTCACAGGCTTTTAAGACCCTAGACACTACTCACCAAGGAGAAATGTAGAACATTGTTTTTATAAACTGTGTTAAGCCAATTGAGATAGATGTTCCCTGAGACCATGGTCCCCACAGCCTTTCACCCAGCAATTCAGTCCCTCAGGGAGTTTGGAAGTGTCTACGGGACTTCCACGACCTTTCCTTGAACAAGTTGTGCTGGTTTCCCCAGTATTGTGTACTGTGTTACGCTTCACCGAAGTTACCACTTTATCTATTGTCTGTTTAGTTCCTCCACCCACCTCTCCCATCCCTTGTAACCAACAAAGATTGTTTCATTTTGTGTGTAAACTTTTACACGAGTTTTTACAGTAGTGGTCTCATACAATGTTTGTCCTTTTGTGACTGACTTATTTCACTCAGCATAATGTTCTCCAGTTACATCCATGTTATGAGATGCTTCACAGATTCATCATTGTTCTTTATCCTTGCATAATACTCCATTGTGTGTACGTACCATAGTTTGTTTGTCCATTCATCTGTTGATGGGCATTTAGGTTGTTTCCATCTTTTTGCTATTGTGAACACTGCTGCAATGAACGTGGGTATACATATGTCTATTTATGTGATGGCTCTTATTTCTCTAGGATATATTCCTAGGAGTGGGATTGCATTTCGTAGTGCTTTGTTTTGTGGTGCTGACGTTTTCTTTGTTCCTCTTACTCTCCTGTGCTGATTTCCTTTTGTTTGTGGATTTTTTTTCATTTCTTTTGTTTTCGTAGGTTTTGTTTTTACTGAGACTTTAAGTTTTTCTTCTTTATTTTGATGAGTAGGTTTGTTAACTTTCTTTGTGGTTACCGTGAAATTTACCCTTATCTTCCTAAGTTTGAACCAGTCTATTATTACTTGGTATCGCCTTGCCTTCCTCTCCATTAGAAGACTCTATACTTACATGGTTTATTCCCTCTTTTATTGTTCTGATGCTGTTGTCATTTACAGATTAATCTCTCTGCTTCCCTGTTGTAATTCTTTTGGTTTGGCGTAGTCCTTTTGAGTTCATTTCTTAGGTTTGTATCCAGCTAGTACAATCCTGTGTCCTATATTCAGCCTGTGGTCTGATGTTGTTTGTTCTCAGATCAAAGGACTCCCTTTAATAAATCTTGTAAGTTTTGTTTGGTTTTTACATAGTCCCTTAATTTCTGCTTATCTGGAAATGGTCTAATTTCACTATCGTATTTGAATGAGAGGTTTGCAGGATATATTATTCTTGGCTGTCAATTTTTTTCTTTCAATGTTTTATATATGTCACCCCATTGCCTTCTTGCCTGCATGGTTTCTGCCAAATAATCTTAGCTTAGTCTTATTGTTTCTCCTCTGTATGTGACTTCTTTTTTTCTCGAGCTGCTCTCAGGATTCTTTCTTTGTCTTTGGTTTTAGCAAATGTGCTTATAATATGCCTTGGGGATTTTCTTTTGGGGTCTACCCTATATGGGGTTGTTGAGCTTTTTGGATGGTCAACTTTTCATCTTTCATGATATTGGGGAAGTTTTCTGTCAGCAATTCTTCAATGATCCTGTCTGTGTTTTCTGTTTTCTCCCCTGTTCTGGAACTATGATCAGTCTCAGATTTTTGCTTTTGATTTTATCCCACATGATTTTCAGGGTTTCTTCATTTTTCTTCATTCTTTTTTCTGATTTTTCGTCAGAGTTGTATCCAAGTGTTTGTCTTCAATTTCACTGATTCTGTCTTCCATCGTTTCAAACCTGCTCCTCAGCCCTTCTATGACACTGTCCATTTCTGAAATCTTGTTGTTTATCTTTTGGATTTCTAATTGTTGTTTTTGTATGATTTCTAGTTGTGATTTTTTTTTTAGCACTTTGTTCCTGTATTATTTTTCTTGAATTCTTCCATTTTTTGGTCTGTATTTTCCATGAATTTGTCTGCCTTTTCTACGAATTTGTCTATTTTTGCCTCATTTTTATCTGCTTTTTGCTTCAACTCTTAGATAATTCTGAATATTAGAGACTTGAATTCCCTATCAGTTAGGTCCAGGGCCTTTTCTTCGACAGGAAGATCATGTGGTGTTTTATTTTGGATGCCTACTGGAACCATCCTGTGCTGTTTTTGTAAATGTTTTGATATTGTCTGCTGTCTTCAGGGCATTTAGTGGTTATTTTCCTCGTTTATTGATTGTAGATTTGTTTGTTTCTTCCTGGTTTTTTGTTTTATTTGGCTATATCTGAGCAGGTGGGTTATGCATTCTTTGTTGTTTGCTCGTCTGTGGTCATGATACTTTTCACCTCCTTCTCCAATAGGCAGGGTCAGTCACTCAGGTGTGGTACAGCAGGGCAGGTCCAGCTGAAGGGGAGTTGCTGGGACAGGTTGTTTGTGGCACATACCAGGGCTGACAGTGCTGACTGGGAATCAGTGCAGGGCAGATTCCAGTAGGCCTTGCCTGTGCTGCTTGGGAGTGTGAGGTTCAGCACACAGTGCTAGTAGGCAGGAAGGAGGGGGTAGATTGTGATGTGTGCAGCTAAGATGGGTATGGGAAAGATGAGAGAGAGGAGAGAGGAACAGGAGCAAAAAACATATACACAAACAAAAAAGAGTGCTAAGGGAGCTTGCTATTGGAGTGGAGAGATGAAAGACTGACAAATGGGGAAAAACAAAAATGGAAAAAAAAATAAAAAGTGTAAAAAAAAAACCAATGAACAAATCTAGAAACCGGAAATGAAGTAAGACAAAAAAGGTATGAGAGAGAAGAAAACAAAACAAAGAAATAAACAAACAACAACAAAAAAAAAAAAACAAGAAAAAAGAAATGCCCCCAGAGATGTCTCTGTGCATCTGCTCAGAGTAAGGGAGTAGCTTCCAAGCTGCATGGTATTGCACCACTAGAAGGGGCTCCCAAGCCAAGAAAGAAAACGAAAACAAACAAATCAAAATAGAACAAATCAGAGCAAACAAACAAAACAGCCCCGGTGGTCCCATCGACGTGGTGGCACAGGCCGAGAAGCAGTTTCACAGTCGAGTGGTGTTTCGCAGCCTTTCAGGAAGAAGCAAAGATGGCTCACGGAGCCAGGTATTTGAGAGAAAGGAGGGGGAGGCGGTGAGAGGTAAGGACAAAATCTAAAGAAGCAGAAAAAAGCAACACCAGCAGCCAACAAAAGCCACTCAGGGAGCCGGCCAGTGCGGGCAGGTGGAATCCAAGTGACACGGGGGTAAAGCTTGTGCTTCCCAGCCAAGAGACTGTGGCCACAGGAAGCAGAGGAGGCTTAGTGGGGGTGAAGAAGGGTGGGGTGTGGGAAAGCTTATATTTCTGGTTACTGGTTGTTCTGCCTTCTGCTGGAAGCTCTGTGAAGCTGCTTTCTCATACCCCCTGTTCGCTGATCTCTGATAGAAGTCCAAGGTGGTGGATCCGTGCTGCAGTAGCTGATGGGGACCTCTGCATGTATCTCTCTTTGCTCTCTGTTCTCGTTCAATTTCTTATTCCATTTGGTGCTTGGCTGAGTTCTTTATCTCTTCATTTGATGCTTAGGGTTTCAGGATTGACAAGTGACTCTGTTTGACTTAGTTTTTCTGATCTTTGCTATAGAGGGAATGCATGGTGCTTCTGACTATAGTGCCATGTTGCCTGGAAGTCAGCCCTTATATTTTAAGTTATAAAAGAGAGCTCTGTATATTAATATTTTGTATCTACCTCTGGTAATTCCAAGAAGTTCTCTTCCTCTGGAAGATTTCTTGAGTCTTTGTTGTGGGAGCTTGCTGAAGTCATCATGGTCTGCCTTTTTATGTGATTTAATTTTGACTGTTGTCTCCAAGCCATCAATAATTTATTAGGTTAATTTATTTTATGTCTTCTTGCTGTGTCTTAGCTTCTCGTTTTGTTTTGTTTTTGATATGCTCAAATAGGTTGCTTGTGTGAGCTAGTTTGATTATTGCTGCCTTTGAAACTCTAATGTCCTGTCACCAGGTGGTTACGTCTTTACTAGGTATGTGAGCCCAGGAGTCCATTCACTTTTCTTGTACAGATTCAGCTCAGATGTCCAGATAGTCAGTCACCAAGTGTGCAGTACAGGCTCTCACCTACAGTCCTAGATGGACAGGGGTGATTGGAGTAGGCATCAGGTATCTGGTTGCATAGGGGGTCACATGCTGAGCAAGGCAGGGGGATGAGGCTGCCCTTGAGTGTCTGGGAGGAAAGCATGTCCTTGTTCCCTAGAGTGTGGAGGGTGGTGGGTTTTACAGCTGGACTATGGGCACCCAATGCTGTTGTCTGTAAGGACTGGGGGGCACCACGTATTCCTGGACCCCTGTCACAGGTGGCTAAGCAGCATGGGTAGAGACATCAGTCCTCAGGTCCCTGATGTGTGTAGGTGAGGAGCCTGCTTAACAGGCTGAGCAGTATCAAATATCATATCCTGCCTCTCCACCATATAGCTGATATAGTGAAGTTAGGCTTCAGGTATATACCCTGTTGTGCTGTGCCAATGAAGGCCTACACTGTTGAAATGGTCCCACACATGTCTATGCAGGGGTGAAAGGTATTCAAATCTGTGGACCCCTTATACTTGTGCCTAGGCAAAGGAGCTGTGCTTGCCCTGAGTTCCCAGCTTAGGGGAGTTGGCAGGTTATTTTTTCCTGTTTGTTAATTTGTTCCCTCTCCAAGGCCAGGAGAATGGCTCGGGGTTCCCCAGGGGTCCTACTTCTGGCCCAGGGGAAGAGGCAATCACTGAACCTGGCCTGGGACCTGGCGCAGAGCAGGGAGGGAGCAGATAAACGGGAGAGAGATTCTTCCCAAAGGGGGTGTTTTTTCATCTGCATGGTAGGTTAAATGCATGTACTTAATCTTTTGCTAGCTGAGTGCTGCTTTTCACTGGCTCTGGAAGCCTTAGCAGACTCTCCACTGCTTGATCTCTACCAACATGGAAGATGCATCCTGAAGGCCACTGCCCGCATCACAGCACACGCAGGCAAAGCCAGCCCAAAGGGCACCAGCTCCCACTGGGTCAGAACTGGCAACTTCTCGCTGCTCCTGAACTGTCTCTCCCTTCCCTCTGCCACTCAGTCCGATTCCTCAACTTTGCCTTTGATATTCAGGGCTCCTAGATTGTCATATATAATTGATTCACTTGTTTTTTTCGGTCTTTGTTGTAAGAGGGACCACTGGAAGCATCTGGCCTAGCCTCCCCTTTTCATTGGTTTTTAACAGTTAGAGTTATGGTATGAAAACTAGATTGTGAATACAGAAGTAAATAAAAATTTTGACACTGTAAAATAAAAATATAGCTTAAAAATTAGGTATAAGTGGGGTGAGAAAAGATGGAGAAAATTGTATGAGGACCACTATTATCAACTTACATAGAGGAAAATTGAGCTACTGAGGAACATTGATGGTAGAAGAAATGTTAAGTTACATATATTATTTAATATTTCAAAGTTAATCAAGAAAATAACTGAAAATCATAATTTCATCAAACATTAGGTACAATAGGAGAGAGGTAAGGGAGTGTGAGTTACATTTCATTTTTCATATGAGCCAATCAATACCATTGTCTATATTTAATACATCAGGAAATTGAAGAATAAAGCACTATGAAAGTTGTTTAAAATTCTGAGGTTCCCACCAGAAAAGAAAAACAGACATAATTTAGAGAAATTACATCTAGAATGTTCTACTGAAGGTGGGGAAGTTTGTACTGGAGACTATGGCTTTTATCAAAAGCTTTCCTGTACTACCAGATTAGTTGCCTTGTGTATATATTAACTTGAAAAAACTTTGTCAGCTTATAGTGTATCAATACTTTTAATAATATACAGCCTTTAAAAAAAGAGATAGTTCTTAATGTGTTACTTCTAAAAATGTTTGTCATACATTGTCAAGTAAAAAAAAAAAGAACCAACAATTTATTGGCAATTTGATGATATGATACTGGCACTGTAAGGTAAAAAGCTATATGTAAATAAGTGTTTGTCGGTTATCTATTGCTGAGTAACAAATAACTGCAAAACTCAGTGGCTTAAAAGTATATTGTTCCCCAAATCAGCTAGGTGCTTCCTCTTTCTCTTCCAGGATCACTCATGTGTCTGAGATCACCAGCAAGTAGGCTGATATTGCCCGGAATCTCTCATATGTTTGGAAAGCATCTGGCAGGAGGTTGGTCTAGAATGACCTTGGTTAGGAAAACTGGACTGTACTACACGTGGTGTCTCTTATCCTCTAGCAATCTACAAACCAATTGCAGTCGAGTTGATTTGGACTCATGGCATTCCCATGTGTGTCAAAGTAGAACTGTGCTCCATAGGGTTTCCAATGCTGATTTTTCAGAACTAGACCTCCAGGCCTTTCTTCCGAGGTGCTTCTGGGTGGACTCAAACCTCCAAACTTATTGTTAGCAGTCAAGAGTGTTGTTTGCAACACCCAGGGACTTCTCCAGCAACCTAGCCCAGGCTTAGTCACATGGAAGCTCAGGTGTCCACGAGGGAGTAGAAGTGTACAACGCTTCTTAAGGCCTAGGCTCAGAATTGCACAGTCTCACTTCTACTGCATTCTGTTGGCCAAAGCTAAGTCAAAAGGCCAGTGAAGAGACAGAGCAAAAGAGGTGGACACAAGGTGGCGAATGATTGGGGCCATTAATAAAATAAGTATTGTATTATGTATTTTATAGAAACATGGAAAAAATTCACAAAGATGCAAGCTAAACATATAACTGTGGTTATTTTATAGAGCAAAAATAAAGAAGCTGTATGATCTTCCATTTTATAAACTTTCTGTTGCTTAATTTTAATGGCAAATATATATCTATTCTTTAAAAACCTTTTTAGGTTAAAAAAATCCCTTGAGCAGTTAACAAACATAAATACATACATAAATCTCATGGATAAACAATACCTAGAATTGACAGATAAGCGGGAGAGAGAGAAAAAAAAAAAAGAGATTACTTACCTGGGCTTTTTGAAACAGTGATAAGAGTTTTGCTGTTTGGCAGTTCTCAGATAGCCCCACTCCCTTCTTAAGCCCTACAAATTCAAATTCACACTTCATGGTTTGGGTGGGCACCAGGGAAGTGAGGCCTCCCTGCCATTCAAAGGCTGGGAATGGCACAGAGACAAATAGGGGTTTAATTTGATCTATTGAATGTGTAAAAAAAAAGAAAAGAAAGAGAGAAAGCCTGGAAAACAGAACATAGAGACGTGTGTGCGTGCGCGCGCGCGCCCGTTTTCATTCTGGTAGTTACACCAAAGAGAAAAGACAAGAGTTGCTTCCTGTTTTCCAAAGACAGAAGCTACATATTAGAGCAGGCAAAGGACAGTCTATCTTGGCAGAGGATGAGGGAGTTTGGGAAGCTGCTGTGTCCTATTTAGGAAGTATCGACACCCTGCCCCGCCCAGGGAAAGAGAGAAGAATGTGCAAGTCTATTTTCATTTTCATTGCCTTTCCTGCCCAGAGAGCTGAAGCAGCCATACCTGGTGAGTGGTTCTTGTTTTTCTGCTGTTTGTGGCTATGTTTTGGGGGAGTTTACAGCTTTGGGGAAAGTAGAAGGAGGCATGAAGAGGGGACTCATCAGAAACAACTGTTTTACTCTGGGGATGGAAGGAAATAGGGGGTAAAAAAGGACAGCAATGAGTGAGCTAACGAAGTATTTTAGGTAATATGTTACATCTTCTGGAAAGAAAGGAAAAGGCAAAAAGTCTGGACCTATGTTTTAAAATGTTTTCTGTGATTTCAGGCTTTCTTCTTGACTTATATTAAGCTGGAATTCTTACCCATTTTATAACGGCTCTAAAATCTTTCAAACTAACCTGGCAGAGACTTGTCTGTGAGAGACCACGCAGTTGAAAAGAATAACTTTCATTTCCTTCATATTTCTGCTTTCTTCATGACCTTTCCTTACTAGCAGAGAGCAAACTAGCTGCAGTATGTGCTTTCAATCTCTGTACGCAGAGCCGCCCGTATAATGAAAACAAAAATCTATTATCTTATAACCAAAAAAACCCGTTGCTGTCTAGTCGATTCTGACTCATAGCAATCCTACAGGACAGAGTAGAACTGCCCCATAGGGTTTCCAAGGAGTGCTTGGTAACATTATCTTATAGGCATGATATATTTATGTTTTACTGCTGCTCACATTGAATATAATATATTTTCTAAATTAGTTATTGATAAAAGTGGAAGAAAGTGGAGGGTTATGGTGATACAAAGACTGAACTGGGTCAGCTATCACAAAGCTCCTTACTGAAGCTGCTTCACTTCTCTGAACTTTAGTTTTCCCACGTGTAAAAAGGGGAGGATTGAAGAAGATCAGTGTCACTCTAAATGTGGTCCTCAGATCAGCAATTTTGGCATCATCTATGAGATTATTAGAAATAAAAATTCCTGAACCACACCTGACTTATCAAATCAGAATTTCTGGGAATGGGGTGCAGGACCCTCTGCTTTTACAAGCTTTTCAGATGATTCTTATGCACATTAAAATTTGATAACCATTGGACTAGAATCAGATATCTAAGGTGCTGTCCATATCTACTATTGCATTATCTTCACAGCTCAGAAATACCAAAAGAAGATCCTGTCAAGAAGGTGAAGTCAATTGCCAAGAACATGCTTGATGGCCTTTTTGATGACTTGTTAGAGAAGAATATGTTAAATGGAGAAGAATTACAGAGATTGAGGGAAGGCATGAACCTCATCATGAATAGGACTGAAAACCTAGTTGAAGATATCACTGGGAAAACCCGAAAAGCAGGCAAAATATTCATGGACTGTCTCTTCAACCCCAAGAAACAGCTGAGTTTAAGTGCGTTGCTTGGGTCAAAGGACTAATAACTTGTTCTTTCTCTACTGTCCTTATGAGTAGCTGGCTTCTTTATTTCTCCTTGTTTTCATGTGAAGTATAAACTACCCCATCTCCAGAACTGCCTTCCCCTGATATTTTATTTAATACTGAAAAATGCCCTGACCTACCCCATTCCCTGTTCCAGCACTCCCAAAGGATTTATCCTGCTGCATATTCTCTTTTTTTCCTTAGCACTTACCATCTTCAATCATTCTATAAAATGTATGTAATCATTATATCTTATCTCCCTCTGCTAAAATGTAATCTCCGTGAGGCAGAGGTCTTTGTCTGCTTTGTTCATGAATATATCCCAAACTCAGAGAAATGGTGCCGGACACATAATAGGTGATCAGTAAGTATGTGTTAAATGAAAGAATGCTGCTGGAGCTGTATTGAATTCAATGGTAGTCTGTAGTTAGTCTGGGCTACTCAGGCTGTACAAAATGGACTGTAAAGTTATTTCCAAATAAAGAATGTTCAACAGGGAAAAATCCACCACCTTCTGCCTTGTTTTGGCTTAGTCCCTGAGATAAATCTCTGGAAGCCTATATGCCTGCAAGTTAAGGGAGGACATAGGGAATTTGAGGGTTAATGAAGCATAAATGTTTCTCTTTAGAGAATGGGTCAGTCAGCAAACATTTTCTGTAAATAGCCAGATAGTAAATATGTTAGGTTTTGTGGGTCATATGGTCTCTGTCACAATGACTCAATACTGCTTTTGTAGCATGAAAGTAGCCATAGACAATACGTACAAAAATGAGCATAGATGTGTTCCAGTACAACCTCATTTACAAAAACCAGTAGTAGACTGAGTTTGGCCTGTAGGCCATAGTTTGCCAACCCTGCTCTAGAGTACAATATATACATGAGTATATTCATGATTCTTGGAAGATCCTTCTGGAATTCTCTCTCTCTCTCTTTTTGAAAGATTATTTTACTTGTATATACAGAGATGGATTTTCATTCCTCAGAATGAAAAGTGCTACTGCATAAAAGCCTTGATTAATAAAGATTTTGATTATTCCTTGAATTATGTAAGCAGGGAGATAAATAGCTCTTTGTTTCATGGAAACCCTGCTTCCTCCTTTACTTGGCAGAAGGTTATTGTCCTCCAAAACAAATTTTGAGCTTAAAGAATGGACCAAATATCCATGTGCCATAGGGAAGCCCCATGCTGAACATGGTCATATACTTGTCAGTGTAAGGGAAAGAGTTTGAAGTGTGTAGGTTCTAGAAACCTAGTTCTATTAACAAACCTATTTTTCATATTATTTCAGAATCTCATCTGGAAAGTGATGATGATGAATCTGAGAAGAACTCTGAATTATTTTCTTTTCCTATAGGTATCTGTCTCCAAATCCCAGATCACAAATGAAAACTCTTAAATCTATAGTGTAGTGAAAAGGTAGTCCAAGTAAGGCATAGGAAACCTGTGTTCCCAGTCAATTTTGGCCTTTGGAAACTGTCTTTAGAGTAAGACATTGTCCTCAATCTTCTATTCATTCTACCTCAGACTATGGAGATGAAAATGAAGATGGTGAACATGAGGAAAAAGATGGGTCAGCCCAGGCATTGGCTCTCCCTCCAACTCGTAACTACTAACAAACCCATTGGCTGATGGAAACCCTCAGACATCACTTGGGATGAGATAGCTGTGCAGGGGTCCTATATTATAGTAAAAAGGCCACAGTATTGAGATTCAGGAAATCTGAGTTTTCAGTAAACTCTGCTTCTGATAAAGTCCCTGAAAAGTAACGTTAGAACACACCTCTGCCCTTCAATTTTCCTCAGAATTCCAAAATGAAAGTGAAGACAATGAAATTGTGGCAAATGCTGATTTGGCCCAGGCATCATTTTTACCCTTGACAAGTAATACTCATCCATGGATGCATAATAACATTATTTGAGCTAAGTTTGATAAAGAGGGGCCCTATGGTATAGTGGACAGAGAACTGGAGTGAAATTCATGTAATCTAAACACAGAGCCTGTCCCTGCCACTGACTAGCCGTGTGCTCTGGTGTAAATTTCCCCACATTTCTGAACCTTGTATTTTAAAATGGGATTAATAATGTGTTTAGGAGTATTCATAAAATGCCAAAGATATAAGAAACTACCAACACCACAAAACAGGAAAAGGATGTGGTTAAGGAAAAAAAAAAAAAAAAAAACTCAGTATGAGCCACACATACTATTGGGTCACCAAAGAAACTGATGAATTCTTGGGCCACATTAAAGAATCATAGTGTCTAAACAAAGATGGTGATAGGTGTACTCTAAAGCAGGTAGATTATGTTGTTTTCTGAACACCATATTTTCAGAAGTTATGGATACACTTAGGAAGGAATAAAAACCATGTAATATTTATTCATTATTGTATTAATTTAGCATATATTAATTGTAAAACTACTGTATGCTATTCTAGTTGCTGGGTTTATAGCAATAAGTAAACAAGATATAGATCCTGCTCTCATGAAGTTTATAGTGTAGGACACATAGATGTATTAAAAATATGTAAAAAATAAATACTATAATTTCAAAGAATGTACAAGAGAAAAGAGGATTAGGGCAGAGAGGGAGGTGTGAAGGTTAGGTGGTGGGAGGGTATGTGAACTAGATTGGTCAGTTATGGACTTTCTGTTGAGATGATATTTACATATATATCTATCAATGGAGAGAGAGTCATGCCAAGCTCTAAGGCAAAAGCATCCCGTGGAAAGGGAAGAGGCAAGAGCAAAGGCCCTGAGACAGGAATAATCTTGCATTGTGAGAGGGTCATAGAGCAGGCCAATGAGTCTGCAGAATAAGAACTAGGGAGAGTGTGGTAGAAGAAGCTGCCAGAGTTCGACAGGGACCACATCACATAGTGCCTATTAAGCCAGTTGAAAAGAATTTGGGTTTTATTTGCAATGGAAACCTTTGGAAGTGTTTAAGCAGAGGGTTGATAGATAAGAGTGGAATCAAAGAAGCCAGCTGGAGGCTGCTTAAATATTTCACTTATGAAATAATAGTTTTTAGACTAGGGTTGCAGCAATGGAGACAATGAGAAGTGGTTAAATTTGGAATCTATTTTAGAGGTAGAGTCAACCGATAGTAACTGGTAGGTTGGATGTGGGATTTGAAAGAGAGGAAGGAATTAAGGATAAACTCTAGGTTTTGCTTGGCATCTGCGCATGGTGGTGCCATTTACGGAGATGGAAAAAAAATGTGATGGTCATGGGGTACAGATTTGTAGGAGTGGGTAAATATCAAGCGTTCTTTTTTGTACTTGGTAAGTTTGAAACATCAGTTACATCCTCTGGTAGAGACTGAGGAGGCATATAGGTGTTCAAGTGAGGAGTTCACAGAGAGATAAAAGCTGGAGGTAGACCTTGGGATTAATCAGCAAGTAATAGTACTTAAGGTATGAGACTGGAAGAAGCCACTTGGGGAGATGGTGTTTATAGAGAATAAAGTAAGGCTAAGTATGGTCAAGAGAAGGTCTTTTAAAAGATGGTTGATATTAAGGCATGCTTACATGCCAATAGGGATAATGGAGTAGGGAGTGAGGGAGAAATTGGTGATGCATGAGGTGGGACTAGATAAATGCAAAGGTGAATTCCTTGTGGGTGAGAAGGGGAGGAATTCAGAACACACTTAGAAGTGTTGGTCTTAGATAGGAGGAAGGGTGTATCTTTCATTGTAGTAAAAAACAAAGCTGAGTAAGTAGAGATGTGGGAAATTGATGGCTTTGGTGATTTAAAAAATGAAATAATTCTTACATAATAATATTTGAAGGAACTTAAGGTTTTGTTTTCCTAAGGGAAAACAAAGAACCAGAGGATATTGGCAGCTATTTTCAAGTATTTAAAGATCCATTTATCAATAAACATTTATGAAGTTTTAATCTTGCAATATATCTTGCTAGATACTGGGAATACAAAATGAAAGACATGGTCCTCATCCTAATTAAGTTGACGTTACAGTGATGAGATACAATATTGTATTAAGATACAATAAAACAGCTGTTTATACAAGGACGTTTACATAAAACAATAGGAACATAGGGGAAGACATATTGAAGTCCTGGAAAAATGCTTGGGTTTTCACAAGGAAAGGAACTAGACTTTTTCTGTATGATCTCAATGGAGGAATACACACCAATACATTGAAGGCACGTGTTATGTTGCACAGAGCTGTCAAAAAATGTCTTAGAATGTTGTTACTTCCCTGTCAGTGGAGGTATTTTCAGAGCATAGTAATAATAGAGTAGGGATATTGTAAATGGAGTTCAAATATCTCAAGAATGATTTGACTAAGTCAGATGAACATTAGGCCCTTTTCCAAATCTTAGATTCTGTGTTTATGTGACTCTATCATATTGGATCTGAAAGATTAGTCAATGCTGTGGCCACTAAAAATAACACGGGAATTCATGGTGAGGCTAGTAAAAAGCAGAAAGAGAAAAGAGGAGTACTCAAGATTTTTGTTTTTGTCATGCTAAATATGAAATGTAGGGGTATTAACCATAGGACTCAGAAGACAATCTCTTTTTGAAAAATTGCTCCCCAATATGTTGTCTTACATTACGCTTTTCTGTTGGCTGGCAGTAAGCATTTCCCAAGAATGAGGGAACAGCGGAGAGAGCTGCAAGACTGCAAATCCTTGGACGCTATTGTTTAATGAGTTGTTTGTATTTTTTCGTATAGCTCCTCTGGAGACCAGTGATAAATTAAAGCTTTGTCCTCATCATTTCCAAAAAGTGAAGACAAAAAAGGCAAATGAGGTGATATGCTTTAGAAGAGGGAGACAAAATCTTGCCCACTCAAATGAGACATTGGGGACTTACTGGAAAATTTTAGCTCTTGTCACAAATGCTTTAAGATCAGGCCAAAGGTCATAGGATGTTATCTAATAGACTTTTCCTCACATTAGATTCCTTCCTATCCTGGAACACACTGTAAACTCCTCTACACCATCCAAGCCAAGTTCCTATAATAAATACTCAGACCGAATCCTTGTTTTCAGTATGAGATTATCTCTTTCCTCATGGGAATGTATTTTTATTCCCATAGCTTTCCAGCAGACTACCCCAAAATTATAAGTGCCTGTTAAGTATGAGGAGTTCCTGGGTAGTACAAATGTTTAACACACTCAACCGTTAACCAAAAGATTGGAGGTTTGAGTCCACCCAGAGGCACCTTGGAAGAAATGTCAGGCAATCTACTTCCAAAAAATCAGCCACTGAAAACCCTATGGAGCACAGTTCTACTCTGATGCACATGGGGTTGCCAAGAGTCGGAGTCGATTCAAAGGCAATTGATGTTTTTTTGGTTTTGTATGCAACAATGGGCTCAAGCACAACAACGATTGTGAGGATGGTGCAGGATTGGGCAGTGGTTTGTTCCGTTGTATATAGGGTCCTTATGAGTCAGAACTGACTCAATGACACCTAACAACAACAAATGGACTTTGAAGGGACAAGAGAGGAGGCAACTTGCTCTGTGTCTGTTGCCTGTAGATACATCCAGTGATGGAGAAAGAAGGCCGGACACGCCTGGCCCTCATCATCTGAAACAAAGAATATGACCATCTTTCTACTCCATAAGGTGCTGAAACTGACATTTTGGGAATGCAAGACCTGCTGGAAAACCTTGGATACTTAGTGATTGTGAAAAAGAATCTCTTCAGCTCAGGTAATAACCCCGAGAGCAGGACAAGCCTCCTTCCCTCTTAAACAGTTTTGAACCTCTTCCTCTGGCAGCTGCAAGGACAAAATGTACACTTGTAGAGGCATTGTTTGCTCCGAAGTGGAGTTCCCTGGATTTCAGCCTCCTCCAATGCACAGTCACACAGCAGAGATTTAGAGCAGCTCTATACAGCCGTATTTCACCAAATATCTAAAAAATATTGGGTCTTTCTGAAGCTCTCACTGTGGGAGGCATCTATTATTTAATGGTCTGGCTCAGACCAATTTCTGCCAAAAACATCCTGGGTGGCCTTAGAAAAACCATGTGGACTTCACTTTAAGAAGTTTCATTCCTCAGAATCTTCAGAAAGCAGAGAATCTGATGAAAACGATTAGATTAGATGCTATGTAAACACGCTTCTAGCTTTAATATCCTAGAAATCTAAAGTTTAGGGTTTTATGTCACAATGTTATTTCTCTTACAATTGTACCCGATTAGAATCACCTGATTCCTTAGCGCTTCCTCCTTTCTGTGAATGCCAATTTTGTATGACGGGTTCCTCAATAGTCACTCCGGAGTCTATTTCAGGAAATGGAAACAGAGCTAAGGCAGTTTGCTGCCCGCCCAGAGCACAAGACTTCAGACAGCACGTTTCTGGTATTTATGTCACACGGCATCCTGGATGGAATCTGTGAGAAGAAGCGCAGTTCCTGACAGGAAGATATTTTGAAAGACGATACTATCTTTCAGATTCTCAACAACAGCAACTGCCAGCACCTGAAAGACAAACCCAATGTCATCATCATGCAGGCCTGGAGAGGTGGTAAGTCTGGATTAGGGGACCCCAAGGAGGGAAGGTGGAGTGCTGGTGGTGCCGTGGTTGAGTTTGGCTGCCAACCAAAATGTCAGCAGTTTGAATCCACTAGCCGCTCCTTGGAAACTGTATGGGGCAGTTCTACTCTGTCCTATAGGGTTGCTATGAGGCGGCGGTTGTGCACTTTTATTTACTAGTCTGGTGTTTAGCCTTCATTTCATCAGGGATTGCTGAGAGCACCAAACTTTTAGTTTTCCTATAGTGAAATCTGTGAGAGCTGGAACTCAACGGGACTGCCTGTTTTTCGGGTTCTCGCAAGTTTTCTGCCTTTGCCAGGGCGCAGCCTTATCTCTTTTCTATCACTCATTTTAGAGGAAAATATTTGAGTTTTCTATTTCTGACAAGCTTCTGCCTTACACAGGTGCCAGCTTTCCCAGGTTTTACTGTATTAGGTTCAGTCTAGAAAAAAATCATAATCTGTACCATTTTTTTTTATTGTAGTTCAGATGAAGGTTAACAGTGCAAATGGTTTCTCATTAAACAGTTAGTACACGTATTGTTTTATGACAATGGTTAACAACCCCACGACATGTCAACACTGTCCCTTGTCACAGTGACTTCATTACTGAGCTAAATGAATGAAAATTCTTCTTTGAAAGGAAAGTCATAGTAGAAGGTAAAAATAGAGGATATTCGTGATTGCGTTTGGTCAAACTTATATGGAATATCATTAACAGTCACTCATGATATTGTTTTATCAATGACAGATAGCAAGGGCAATTTTAGAAAGCTTAGTTTACACTATTCACAGTCCTCCGTGTTCTGGTGTAATGAACGTGAACTTTAATGTGTATAGGAATCATTTGGGGATTCTGTTAAAATGTAGATTCTGATTCAGTAGATTTGAGGTGGGACCTAGATTCAGCCCTCCTAGAAAGCTTCTAGGGGATGCCAGTACTGCTGGTCCCTGGCTACATTTGAGTAGAGAGGGACTAGAGGACAGTCAGGGTCTAGCCTAGAGAAAAAGAAAAAGGCCGTGCAAGCACTTCAGTCCCTGCTACCTCCAGAAACAACACCCACCCCACAACTAGCATAGCTCTACTTCTGTTTGTTTTATATATTGATATTTTTATAAGGCTTTACTGGAAAGAGGAATTCTATATGTTTAGCTGTTAAAGGAAGTTAAAAAGGCATGAAAATCCTGATACATACTCTGAAAGATTGTTTAATTTAGTTTAGAAAATAAAGTCCAATATGCAAAATTCTTGTGTCTATTTATTGTACACATAATTATTCAGTGTATATTATGTTCCAGGATTGGTCTAGGTTCAGAGCACATGACACACATTTAAAGCAAACATAGTTACCGAACATGATGGAGTTTATAGCCATGCCAGGGAGGCAGAAATTAAATAGGGGAAGAGGACACCACAGTTATCACCGAAATAAATGATGTTTGCCAACTGTGATAAGTGCTGTAAAGAAAAATTTTTGCTGACATTGAAAACGCAGAGGAGTTAAAAGGTCAAGGGTAAGGTAGGGACATTCCAGACAAAAGAGCAGTGTGAATGGAGGACCTGAGAAAGAAAGGAGATTAGAAGACAGGGTCAGTGTGGCTGGAACACAGAGTCAGGGAGGATGTCTGGCGAGGTAAGCAGATAGAAGGCCAGATAATTCGAAGTCTCATATGTTAAAGAAGGATTTGGCCATTTATACTAACAGTAATAGAAAACTTTGGTGGAATACAAGCAATGGAATGATAAGATTTTAATTTTTAAATGATCACTCTGGGGACTCTGTGGAGAACGAATTAGAGGAAAGCAAGAATGGATTTAGGGAGACAGGTTCAAATGCTACTATAATATTTCAGGCCGTAGGAGATGATGATAGATTTGGGATGGGGTAAGTTGTTTTATCTCAAAAATAATTAGTACGTAAATTTAGTATGACCTGGTGGTTTAGTGGGCATGGAAGACAAACAAGAAGAGATGATAGAGGTGACTCCAGTGTGCAAGTGGATAATTGTGGTGCATTTATTAAAATGGGAAACACTGCAAAAAGGTCTGAGATGTTTTTGGGATATTTCAGAATGGAATGAAGAATGGAGAATTACACAGTTGTATATTTCAGAAGGGAGATCTGCATTAGAGATAGAATTTTAGGAGACAGTGGCCTAAAGATGATCCTTAGTATCTAGAAATGGATGAAATTATCTATATCTAAAGTACAGACACAACAGTGAGAAGATTTCCTAGAGTTGAGGTCTGAAGAATTCTAAGGTTCAGAGGTAGCACTAGAGAGATTAGCCAGCATAGTAAACTCAGAAGGTATGGTCAGAGAATAGGAAACAAAACTAGGAGAATGTGTTATTAAAGTTGCCAATAAATAATCTGTTGGAGTCACCAACCGTTTCCAACATAAAATAACAGGTAAAAAGACTGGTAAGTGACTATTGGATTTAGTGACATAGAAGTCAGGGGTGACCTTGGGGAAAGCCATTTGGTGAAGCTGGGGTTAGGGAGTAGGGAAGACAGACAGAATGAGCTAAGGGGTGAGCAGAACAGGAGGAAATGGAGACAATGGTTATAGATAAATTTGGAATTTTGACTATAAACAGGAAGGATAAATAGGACGCTAACTGCAGGTAAAATGGTAGTTAGGGAAATATTATCTTTTTTTTTAATGAATGAAGAGGTTGATCACATTTATATTGTAAAGAAAAGTAGCCATTCAAAAGATTTCTCACACAACACAAAACTGCGTGCTAAAAATTGTAGTATGAAACAAGTATGAATGAAGAGGAGACCTAGAATGTGTAAAGCTGGATTTTTTTTTCTTTTGTGTCATCAGACCTGAAAGGACCTATGATCATTTCTGCTACTTGCAGTTGTGGGTGCCATAACTTTAGCCTTGTTTCCTGAGACAGTCAAGGGGATTTACAATTACAGGTCCAGGCTGTTTCTCTCTGGGTCTGCTATGAAAACATGAAGTTCTGCCTTACCCAGCTTTGACCTCTCTCTTCCTAAGCACCACAATCAGACTTTGCCCCAAAGGTATGGCTCCAGGAGTCTTTCACACTTATGCTAAGACCACATACCTGTGTATTCCAATCCCTTTTGTTTGCAGATAATGTTTCTGGGAGATTTGACACAAATGGTTGTCTCTTCATTTCCTGATTTATCAACTATTTCAAGAAGTGTTCTTGTTATTATCATTTGGAGGCAATTTTTAGAAAGGTAAGCATCCTTTTGTCTTTCAAATTCTATGCCCCCCCCCCCCAAAAAAAAACTTTGTAGAACCATTTGCCAAACTTTTTAGGAATCTTGAATCTCTTAAGTCATCTCGAGGCTCCTTCCTGAACTCTGAGTTCATTTAAAGAGAAAGCATTCTGAAATACACCATAGAACCAGAGTGAGTCTTCCCAATAGCCTTTGAAACTGATATCTCTGGTCATTCAGGGAATGCTACTTAAGATACTAATCCATTCGTATATACACCATGTCCAAGGAAAAGTTAGAATTTTCTTCTGTTTACATGAACCAGACCACAGCCATAATACACACTGCATTTTCTCTTTCTTAAGGAGTCTAGATTTCCCTTTTAGAGGACGCTTGAATGCTTTCTTTGAAGCCCTGGTGGCACAGTGGTTAAGATCTGGACTGCTACACAAAATGTTAGAAGTTCGAGAATCTACCAGTCACTCCTTGGAAACCCTGTGGGGCAGTTGTATTCAACCTGTATTTTCCTGTAATTATCTTGATTTTTTAATCTTTCTCTAATTTTATGTAACTTATTTAGTATGAATGGTGGAAAGAGGCTCTTATTAATTTTTTTCAATGAATTATCTATTGACAAAGAAATACTAATTCAATCGTGCCTTTTTGTTCTTACTAATTGTAAATTGTTTTTAATATTAATTTAGAATGTGCTATGGACTCTGGAGGATATGAAAGAAAGGTACTGGACTTTGGTATCTACTTTAGGGAATCCTTTGAGTGCAAGGAGTTGAAACTCACTCAAACAGGCTTAAAAAGAAAAAAAAAATCTTGATATAAGAATATGAGAGATAATTTGATATTCCTCCAGATAGGAAAATAAAGATAGCCAAGCCCCTGGAGATCTGGACTAGAAAATAGAAAGTTAGGAAATCATTCTATCTGATCAATATCTCCAATGAGTAGTTTGCTAATTGTAACTCTTTTAATAAATTATTTAATGTATCTAACACCAATATCTAGGAATGAAAATGTGTACACCAACACCTGGCTTATATGGAGCACACATATTGTGTAAATGGAAAAAGTTTCAAACTGGAGCTGCTCACGTCAGACTAAGAATGATGGAGCCAACATGCATTCTGAGGAACCAAAACGTCAGGATATAAACCATTTAGGAAGAGTGCTTCAAGATGTAAACAATTGTTCTCAGGAAGAATGTGCTCATAACTAACTGAACTGGTCAGGATGTAAACCATTTGGGAAGAATGTGTAAACAATATGCTCCCAGAACCGTCTATAATCACGAATAACTGACAACAATTCTATAATCAAGTATAACCTAACAGACTGGCAACTCACATCTAAGTGGTAATTCACTCCTCCCTAACCAAGTGATCAACCTTTACATTTCAAAGGACTTCAAGCTGAAGTTGACCTTATTTACAAGCAATCATTAACCCCCTACTTTTCCTTTGTTCTCTATAAAAAGCCCTCTCTCTGCTTGAACTGTGGAGCACTTTGCATTTCTACCTAGTGCTGCCCAGCTACAGCTGTTCTATTCCTCAATAAAACTCCTTTTCTTTCACTCTTAACAGAGTATGAGATTTTCTTCATTGACAGAAAGTAAGTGCCTAAAATGCCTCCCTATTGCACTTCCTGTTACACAATAGGCATTTCTTTATGATAGAAATTATTACTATCACAGTGTACTGATCTCTCTGTCAGGGCCATCATCCTTTTAACTACTATTGTCTTACCATCTCACTCGTCCTCTGTTGTTCACACTTTCCTTAGTTATTCTCTTAGTGTACATGCTTACAGATACGTTTTAGGATGATTTTTATAAGTTTTCTGTAATTAAAATGGGTGTTTGGCTGCTAACTGAAAAGTCAGTGGTTTGAACCCAACAGTGTCTCTGAGAGAAAAAAGACCTGGTGATCTTCTCCTGTAAAGATTATAGCCTAGGAAACCCTATGGGGGCAGTTCTACTCAATGGCACACAATAAACAACAATGGTATTTAAATATGTACATTTGATTACCTGGGACTATGTTTTGTGCATCCGTTAAGCTACATTTTCTTTTATATCTTTAGGCAAAGATGTGTATTTTTCTTCATATAACTTCTTCAGACTTCTGGATAAGGAAGTTCCTATACATATTGTATTTTGTTACTATTTTGAATGATAATTTTTCCCCATAGTTTCCAACTAATCACTTCTGTGGGTGTAAAGAAAAATAAAAGGCCCTATCCACTCTTAAATATATACAAACCTGCATTCAGCAACTTTACTGAAAATTCATTATACTAGAGAATTTTTCAGTAAGTTTTTCTTTTGAAACTTCTACATATAAAACTCTACAATCTGCAAATCATTTGTCTCCTTACCAATATTCACAGCTTTTATTTCACACTCATAAAGTTTTATATTTCCATATCTCCACAGAAAATAGCCAATTAAAATAATGATAGTGGGCATTCTTAATTATTACTTTATTGGAAATGCCTCCAGAGTTTTATCATTAAATGTAATGTTTATTATTGATTTAAGCTAGATTTTTATAATAATAATAACGTGTATACATACATTATTATTTTTCATAAGATTTGTCTCCTTCTCAGGGATCTTTCTTTGGGCCCTAGTAGGATTTTTTTTTATTTGAACTAGTGATATGATTAATAGAATAGATGCCCTAATGTCAAGTAATGATTATATTCTAAGGATGGGATCTTCTTTGCCATAGCAGATTATTCATTTACTCTCCATTTGAAATAAATTTGCTAATATTTGATTTAGAACAAGCACATTTATAATTATATATGGGATTTTCTTTATATTGATCTATTTCTAATTTGTTCATAAGATGTTTTTAGCACTATTTTTCAGTGAACTACAAGTAGTAGATATATATTTTTTAATTTTTTTATTGTACTTTAGATGAAGGTTTACAGAACAAATAGTTTCTCATCAAATGGTCAGTACACATATTGGTTAAGAACCCCACGATGTGTCAATACTCTCCCTTCTCGACCTTGAGGACCTTTTTTTTTTTTTGGTGAAAATATATATAGCCAAAGTTACACCATTTCAAAATTTCTAAGTGTAAAATTCAATGACAATTGATTACATTCTTCCAGCTGTGCTGCTATTCTCACTATCCTTTTCCAAATGATTCCATCACCATTATCTTCAACTCACTGTCCCCTAGGCTTCACATGAAACCTTTTGAGTTGCTGTTGTCAATTTGATCTCACATAGATAATGCTTTTTTTTTTTCTTTTGTATCTTAGATGAAGGTTTGCAGAACAAATAGTTTCTCATTAAACAGTACACATATTGCCCTATGACAATGGTTAACAACCCCATGACATGTCAACACTGTCCCTTCTCAACCTTAGGTTCCCTATCACCAGCTTTCTGTCCTCTCCTGCCTTCTAGTCCTCGTCCCTGGACTGCTGTGCCTCATTAGTCCAGTTTTGTTTTATGAGGCTGTCCAATTCCCGGCTGAACAGTGAACTTAGGGAGTGACTTCACCACTGAGCTAAAAGGGTGTCCGGGGGCCATACTCTCAGGGTTTCTCCAGTCTGTCAGGCCGGTAAATCTGGTCTTTCTTTTGTGAGTTAGAATTTTGTTCTACATCCTTTTCCAGCTCTGTCCAGGAGCCTCTATTGTGATCCTGGTCAAAGCGGTCAGTGATGGTAGCTGGATACCATCTAGCTGTACTGGACTCAGTCTGGTGGAGGCCTTGGTAGCTGTGGTCTATTAGTCCTTTGGACTAATCTTTTCCTTGTATCTTGTTCTCTTCATTCTCCCTTGCTTCTGAAGGGGGGAGATCAGTGGAGTATCTTAGATGGCTTCTCACAGGCTTTTAAGACCCCAGACGCTACTCACCAAGGTAAAATGTAGAACATTGTCTTTATAAACTGTTATGCCAGTTGAGCTAGATGTTCCCTGAGACCATGGTCCCCACAGCCCTCTGCCCAGCAATTCAGTCCCTCAGGGAGTTTGGAAGTGTCTATGGACACTTTCCTTGTACAAGTTGTGCTGGCTTCCCCAGTACTGTGTACTGTCTTACCCTTCACCAAAGTTACCACTTATCTATTTAGTCCCCCCCCCCCCGCATCCTTCCCATCCCTCATAACCAACAAAGATTGTTCCTTTTTGTGTGTAAACTTTTACATGAGTTATACAGTAGAGGTCTCATATAATATTTGTCCTTTCGTGATTGACTTATTTCACTCAGCATAATGTCCTCCAGTTTCATCCGTGTTATGAGATGCTTCACAGATTCATCATTGTTCTTTATCTTTGTATAATACTCCGTTGTGTGTATGTACCATAGTTTGTTTATCCATTCATCTGTTGATGGGCATCTAGGTTGTTTCCATCTTTTTGCTATTGGGAACAGTGCTTCAGTGAACATGGGTGTACATATGTCTATTAGGGTGATGGCTCTTATTTCTCTAAGATATATTCCTAGGAGTGTGATTCCATTTTGTAGTGGTTTTTTTTTTTGTGGTGCTGACGTTTTCTTTGTTCCTCTTAGTCTCCTGTGCTGAGTTTCTTTTGTTTGTGGATTTTTTTTTTTATTTCCTTTGTTTTTATAGGTTTTGTTTTTACTGAGACTTTATGTTTTTCTTCTTTATTTTGATGAGTAGGTTTGTTAACTTTCCTTGTGGTTACCTTGAAATGAGTAGTATATTTTATGAAACTAAATATCTGACAATGTTTTAGCCTTAAGTTCACCTATAAACACATGTGAAGGCCAAGTCTGAATTTAATCCTTACTAGTAACTTTAAAAATTTAAAAAATAATATATAAATATGTTTGCATGTCCACATATGTATATTCATTATTTTAACTTTCAATCTGTAGATAAAGATCAATTACACAACCATTACAATTTTTATTTTGTTTTAATCTTGAGACTATTAATAATTAAAAAAAAATATCCAATTGTTGGAGGAAGATAATAAAGAAGCAAGTGAAAATCACGTATGCTCTACAACATAATTTGTTTTCTCTTGCTCCCATCTTGCTTTCTTTCTCCCCCTCTCTCTGTCCACACCTACAGACTCACAGATACACAGGCATATGTCACTTAACGTCCACGATATGTTCTGTGAAATGGGACTTTATGTGATTTGGACATTGTGTGAACACGATACTATATACAGGAGAGAGGTGCACAGGACAGTCACCCGGCAAGCCTGGGATCTGCACTGCTACTGGTGCACTGAGACGTTGTGCAAAAACTTTGTTCCACCACCACCAGTCCTGCCTGCTAGCCACCTGATCTCTGAGAGCCATGCCAGACACCTACCATGGCATGTACTCGTCGTTCAGCCAGCCACCTCCAGGAGTACCACCAGCTCCTTTCCAGGGTCAGACTGTCCAATAAGAAATGTAAGCACAGCTTTACTTGTGCTTACTTACTAGACTGTAGTGGACAACTTCACATTTTTTCACTACATCAAAGTTTCTGCTTCCAGGTATGGCTGGCATCTATCTCTTTTCCAACCCCACAGCACCTTCCTACAGAATCAAAGCTTCTTTTCAAAGAATCAGAGCTCCAGTGGCATCTGTGTGGTCCTTGCCTGAGGTAAGCAGGTGGAACAGGGAGCCACCAATGAACACCAGGACCTCCTTCCCCTGCCGCACAGGGCTGGGGCTGACGCTGACCCAGAGAGCCAGTGAGAGACAGACAGAATCTACTTAGCAAAGTAGATCCCCTAAACCCCATTCTCCGGTTGGGATTTATGAACCCCATTACAGTATAACTTTATGGA